GTGTGACTTAAGTTGCTAACCTGAGCAGAATATGTCCTCCACCAAGGCACTTCCATGTAGAAAATAGGATGGGACCCGATGCCCTTTAAAAATGTATTCAGCAACCTCTTCCAAAGCACAATAATATCCGTGTTAAATAAGCTATGAAGTAGGAGGACATATATATAAATTGTAGCTTTTCCCTTCAGAATTTGTAGAAATTACCTTGTGTACAGCAAACGATTGCCAAGCATATAACAGCTTCCTACAGCAAAGTGAACACCCATTCGAGTCCAGTGGCACTTTTAAGACCAACAAAGTTTTATTCAAGGCATATGCTTTTGTGTGCATGCACACTTCTTCAGATGCATTGAAATGGAAGTTACCTATGCAGAACATCAAATTAGCATACAACATAATGACGATGTTTAACAGATACAAGGAGCAGACAGGAATAACAAGCTTAGTTTATATGGTCACCATTTGTTTGGATTTAATTCTGGGGGGGGAAACATAGTGAAGCAAATATATCAAAATTGGAGATTGATGTGTAAATATACCCTTAATTGTGGAATCCTGAGAGTAATTAACTGACACCCTGTTGTTACAGTCCATCCATTTCCTGTCAAGCATGGAGGTAATTAACAGCATCCTTTTCTTTAAGGTGGGGTGAGTAGTTGTGCACTGTTGTCTCCTCTGTCACCAGACCAGAGAAATACATTCCAATCTACCATTCCCAATTACATTACATTCTAGTATTCACTGCATTACATTACAATTACTATTCCAAAAAAGAAATACAATGAGAAATACAATAAAATAAAGAGGATGTATGGCCTTTCTTAATGAGAATACAGATGTAAGGATTGAGCGAGATTAGCATATGTACTGAGAGAAGAAAACAATATCCCTGTTAAATCCCAGGGATTTTTTTTATCTAAGTGCTGTAATAACTTGTAATTCAGCAGTTTCCCTTCATAGCCTGTTCCTGACGTTCCTTGGAGGACACCCACTGAATGTCCTGGAAGGCTGAAGTGTTCTCCTACGGGTTTCTTTGTCTTGTGATCCTTAATGTCAGATTCATGTCCATTCAACGTTTGGCATAGGGTTTGATTTGTTGGCCCTATAACCGAAGGGCATTGTTGGCATTTAATGGCCTATACAATGTTAGAAGATGAGCGAGTGAGCCTGAGATGGTGTGGTTGATGTTGCTGGGTCCAGCGACTGCATTGTCTGGGTGTATGTGGCAGCAAAGTTGGAATCCGGGTTTATTCCAAGCTCTGGCAGTGTCCGTGTTCAAGTTAGATGTATTATTATGGGCGATGAGTTATTTAAGATTGGGGGGGGGGGCTGTCCCTGTGCAAGAAGAGGTTTGCCCCCCCCCCAGTGCTTGTGAAAAGAGATGTCATTATTCAGTAGAGGTTATAAGTCATTGATGATGGATTTAACTGTTTATTTATTTTTTTATTTATTAGTATGTGACCATATAAACTAAGCTTGTTATTTCTGTCTGGTCCTTGCATCATTATGTTGTATGCCAATCTGCTGCTCACCCTCTATCTATATGTATGGACTGGTAACTTCCATTTCAATGTATCTGAAGAAGTGTGCATGCACACGAAAGCTTACACCTTGAGTAAAACTTTGTTGGTCTTAAAAGGTGCCACTGAACTGAAATTTTGTTCTTTTGTTTCAGACGTACATAGCTACGTATCTAACAAACATCCATCTTTAAGTACACAGACTTAAAGCAAACAGCTACTACTGAACTGTGATTATTTCCTTGACAGTTAAAATTTGAGTAGGTGATAGGGGAACATATGGAGAGTATAGGGTGGTTTACTGCAGTGTCCCAGGCTTTCATTGACCAAATTAAGAGACAAGTAAAGTAAGACCATTCATAACTCAAAGGAATAAGTGGTTGCATGAACATGAATGCCAGCTTGGTGTAGTGGTTAAGTGTGCGGACTCTAATCTAGGAGAACCAGGTTTGATTCCCCACTCCTCCACTTGCACCTGCTGGATGACTTTGGGCAAGCCATAGTTCTGATAAGAGCTGTCCTTGAAAAAGAGCAGTTTCTGTCAGAGCTCTCTCAGCCCCACCTACCTCACAGGGTGTCTGTTGTGGGGAGGGGAAGGGAGTTTGTAAGCTGCTCTGAGACTCCTTTGGATAGTGAAGGGCGGGGTATAAATCCAATCTCTTCTTCTTAAGTGATGGCTCTGCAAAGATAGACATTAGACTCAAGTTTGCTGCTGTAGATTGTCTCAACCAAGTGAGCCACAGACAATTCACACTGGAGCAGTCCAGGAGTGCGGGGAATAAACTCAGGGAAATAAAAGACTAAGATAACAAGGCCCTGTCAAACACTGAAGAGGATGAGGAAACAAAGAGAATAAGTTTGACCTAGGGGAAAATCCCTTTCTGGTCCCTCATTAACAGTCTGATTAAGAGTGAAAGCAGTATCAAGTCCTAGACATAATTTTTGGGGAAAGACAATAAATTTCCAAAATTTAGTCACATTAACTAAGCCCTTGATAAAATATTGTACCATTTTGACTGCCGGAGATGTAGATGGCCTTGACTTCAGATTGTGGTTTTGGATTGGTTCATTTATTATGCTCATAATAGATGAGCACATCTAAGCCACTGACAGACCATCTGGTATCCTGGAGGTGAGAAAGCTCCAGCTCCTTCCCATTGACTAGCCCTACAGGTAGCAGAGACTAAGGAGTCCTTGCTGGCCTCTCTTGTTTCCTTGGACTGCTATTAAAGACAGATTGAGGAAACATTATTGTCACTCGATTACGATTAAAGAAATAGCTGTCCACTGATTAAGCTTGATCATTATGGTATAGAGTACCTCTTGCTAGAGCCAAGAGGGCAAAGCTGTACTGTTTTTGCCAGGAGCAAGGTGGCAGAGCACTGTCTGTAATGTTTAACTTGGCCTGGAAGAGTTCCTTTAGCATTCCAGGGAGAGGCGCTGGGGAGGAGAGCCTTGGGAACACACCAGCCAATTGAATAAGATCTAGCCCCCCCCCCCCCCTCCAATTTCATGTACTTAAGCATGGGTATGGCTAGACACACAAGCCTGTTGGCAGGAACCAGAGGGTTTAGTCCATAGTCCTGAGCCACACCAATAGATCCAGGACCAGCCTAGAAATTGTACTTTTTTGTTCGGCTTACAAAGAAACACAGAAATATAGTTTAGACAAGCAAAGAAGAAAAGCAGGATAGAAATGCTTAAAACCATTTGCTAGTGGAGCACATACTATGGAAAACCTGTGCTTGAACACTCACTGTTACTGTCCTTGATAGACCAGTTATCTGACTTTGTATAAGGCAGCTTCCCATGTCCACAGAAGATTCTGCCAAGTAGGCAGCCAATTCACAAACTCATCAAGTAAATATATCACAGGTGGGCTGCTTCACAGTTACAGTCACATCAATTTAAGTGGCAGAATCAGATCTTTACCCTTTCCACAGTGTTACTGCTGGGAGGGATGTTTAAAGTGGCCGTGGTCAGTGCTGGACAGGAGACCCATGGAAATTTTGATGTAAGCTGCCTTAGTGGAAGATTTAACGAATGGAAGAAAGGCAGAATATAATCAAACAAGTAAATTAACAAACCTATTAAATACGCTGTGTAAAGATACACCTAGGCCTTTAAAATGGCCATTCATTTAAAAGTTTTTATATTTCTTTATTGTAACTGAAAAACTGTACATAAAAAGGAGTTGTAAAGTTACATTTGTCAAAACCAATGTAAGAAATATTTTCTCTGCCCAACTTAAAGGGAGTGCAAACATTTTACATTTCATAAAGTGACAAAAAGTAAACCTAAATGAATAGATTTTGTTTTGTAGCAACAGTACAAAGTTAAGCTGGATATTTTTAATATGGCCAGAAAAAAAAAACCTTTCAAATGAAAAATCATATAGTTTTATTTCTAATTTTTAAAAAAATATAAATGAATTTAGAAGAGAATCACAGTATAAGGGCCCTAAACATTTTGAACCATTACAGGGTACATAAAAATAGACACAGATTCCTTGGAAACTTTAATTCTTTGATTAAGCAGCAAGCATATCACTCTTCCAGGCAAAAACACTGCTTAACACAACCCCCTACCCAAAACAGGACGTGCACATAATCTGGAAAGCACACAATTTAAAAAAGGACAACATTTTGCTATGTACATGGGTCAGTACTACAAATGCTAGACATGTCATTACTATGTGGTATAATGTATGTAAAGCAGTATTACACTGCATACCAATCTCCCTCAAAATGCACGTGCCCAATTACAGCTTTGATAGCCTAAACCGACATCTGCATGGCACCACCTGACCTCCAGTATACTGAAGTTCTAGCAACAATAGACCAAGACAAAAAGTTAGCAAAAAGTTCAAGAAAGTCACTGGGAGACCTGATCTAAATATTTAAATACTGAAAATGCATCACTAGTAGTTTTGATATTTATGCCCAAATGCATATACAGGGGCTTGATCATTGGAAGAACCTCAGATTGAGGGTTAAAGTTCCAATATCATGAAGTACCACGAATTCTAGAAATTGAAAAAACAGTATTTAAAACCCAGCAGTGTGGCTGGGAGTACAAGAAAACTATGGACATGTATACTTAGTATACTACAAACAAAAGGAGAAAAAAATCTATTTAAATAAGTGTTTTAAAAACGTAGAAAACAAGCTAATGAATAAATCCTTGTAACACCTTAATCAAGATTAATCAAGATTAAGGTGTTAATCTAAAAGTTCTGACACTTGAGCTGTAATATGCAGTATTGTCAAGAGGCTGGTACAACTCTGCTGCGCAGATATCACCCTAAACCTTAAACTTGGAACATTAAATACCATTGCTTCAATAAGACGTGGGGAAAGTTAAGTGGTACAGTTAAGAAGAAATGCAAAATAGAAGACTTCAGTTGCTCAATATTTCTTGCCTTAAAAATATGCAGAGCTGTATCTCCCGATTAATTAGTAAAGCATGATTTGGTATCTGCTTTAAAAAAAAAAAATGAAAAGGGGGGGGGGGGGGGAATTGCATTGGCAACAACCACAAAAAATGGACTGGGGTAGTCTGAGAAGGAAGCAGTGGTAGGTGAAGACATTTTTAATGTTTAATTATTTCATATTATCCCAGTACCTATTAATTTCAGGAGAGCACTCCTTGTTAACTTATTGCCAAAACTTACACAATAGGATAAAATTTCAGGTAAAAGCAGTACTACAAAGATAATTTTAAAAAGACAACTTTAGTAGCCACATGGTAACAGCAGCTGTTAATGGTGTTAATTTTTTATTTTTAATGTAAAGCAAAGATGCTGGCTCATCCATTGCCTACCACAGAATTTGTACTAGCAAGTCATACTTCCAGTATCAGAAGACCACACAGTTAAGTTTAAATTTATTTTGTACCTTAGCTTTTGCAAATCTTTGAGATAACTTTTCTAACAGGCATACTGTAAACTTTTTCTGCAGAAAAGCATTTTAAAAGAAATCTAGAAAATACAAGTCTAAAAATGTATGGTTGTTCTGTATCTGTCAGAATCTAAATAGTAGGCTTCTTATTAATGCTTGCACTCCTAACATAGGAAAATGTAAAAAGGAATTCCCCAAATAATATCAGGTTTACCACCAGCTTCACAACAGTAGTTGAAACTCCTACACTTGTCAGACGCACTGTTTCCATGTACTAATGTGGTTTGAATATAAAGATTTTCATAAAATAAATAGAGTAAAAACCAGTTGAAGTCCTAGTGCTTTGAACTTTTTCTCTTTTAAAGAAGTTATTCTGTGTAAGAAGACCGACTTCGTAGACATTGTCTCACTGTAACAATCTACTGCACTGAAGTTTCTCTTATACAGATGGCCATTCACATTATTTCTGCTGCTTGCTCTTTTGTGTAAGACTGCTTCAATACTGCGGAAGGCTCACTTCCCTTCCTTCCCTATCTGAGAAAAATAGACACTGATACAATTTTATTTGTTAGTTACCATAGTTCTGCCCTATTTCTTTAGTGCAGAGGGGACTGTGATTCTGTCTGGATTCCAATAAGCGATGGCGGCTGTGGGCCACCAGTGGAAGATAATGCTGGTCTTGGGTTTAGACGAGGAGGCATTGAATTAGCTGGGCGGATGAGTGGTGGAGGGGGCTGGTTCAAGGTTGGCCTTGGCTGAATAAATCGAGCCTGCTGCTGAAGTGGTGGAGGCTGACGATGGAGAGCTGGAGCAGCCGGAAGGGTTGGACGAAGTAATGGAGGAGGCTGATTCAAAGTTGTTACAGGGGCTGCTGGTGTTGGAGTTGATGCCTGGGCAGGTGGAGAAGACCCTACACATTGAGGAGTCTGTGGGATCTGAGCCTATAAATAAAGTGACACAGAGATGTAAAAACAGCCATTCTGTTATACATGCAGTTTAGGTTGCCACTGTCTCCAGAATATGGGTAGCACAATTAGTTTATCCATTCTGGTAGCTATGGAACCTTGCTTTGAAAGCAACCATTTCTAAGCAATTTAATAGTGACAGAGACAAAATATTAAGGGAAAAAAGTTTTTAAAAGTTTAAAAATTCAGGATTAGTCAGCTATACATCTTTCCATTATTAGCACAATCACAAAGGTTGGGAAGAAAGACAGGCAACCTAGTTCTTAAATTGTTCTGCTAACAAAAGCCCCACCAAATTGAATGGGGCCGGACCTGTAGATTGCTCCAAGTATCAGAATGGTGGTTCAGCATTCCACTTCAAGCTAAATATTACATTTTTACAACATGAAGTTTAATGCTACTCCTATACTCATGCTTATTTAATATCTGGTACACAAAAACACACCTCATCTTCTTCATCAGTGCTCTTCCCTGATGGCACATTAGTATTTTTTGTGTCCTCCCCTAAAGCAGAAGCATCACCATTAGAAGCCAGGGTTCCTTGTTCTGCTTCCCACTCCTGCAAAACCTCCTCTAAGTTAAACCGACGCCTGTAGTTTACAAAGAAGTTCTTCACTTGACCAACAGTCTTGTTGCCAATTACATCAGCAATAGCTTGAAAATCTTTACCATACTTGCGGACACCTAAAAAAGGCAAAGTAAATACACCTATGAAGGTTCAAGGTAATAAGCAAAGCCTGTATGATGTATATATGCAGAAAAGTCCCCTTCAGATGCCACAGAGTAATTCCAAGCAGGGATTATGTAATCTAATGCAAAATACCACTACATGGTTAGTGACTGTTACTGGTTTGTTTCAATATTATGATTATTCATAGTTTATTAACTATAGCCCAAAGGAGAACCATGTAACTAGCTTGATGTGCCCAACAGAGTTTTGCTATACTGAACAGTGACCTTCCATGCAAAATGGCACACAACCTTTGAAACAGAGGGAATAATCATGTTTCTGGCATGTTTCTGATAGGATATGGAGTATATGTTGTTAAAAGAATAAAAGTCAAACATCTTACTGGATGTACTCTTCTTAAAGTAGCAATTTGGATCCTGAGCTATATTTTTATCTATTAACACTGACAGGAGCCACTCATTCAGCCTAAGGTAAGATAAATGCCACTATTTTTCCAGTTTAAAGGTCCATTCAGCAAACAATTATAAGTAAAATGAATACATCTATCAGGTGGTATGGGAACTAATAATTTAATGAAAGGATTACCTGAAATATTTACATTTTTTACTTCTAGAAGTGTGTCTTTCTTGGTTACTCTAATGGATTTCCTTTTACCAGTCCTGAAGCACCATGAACTGAATCCATGGACTATGTCCATTAATTTAAAAAGAGACCCATTTTTGTGACTGGCAACTTCTACCAATTTTAGTATCTGTAAGCAACTTCTTAATGAACAATTTACAGAACAGCCAAGAATCTGACACATTAGCTGGGTGGGAAACCATTTAATATACAAGAAAATGTGAATGTGACTTCTAGGTATGATAGTCTGGGTAACAATAAGTTTTAAAAGTTTGAGCTCATTGAAAAGCAAAACAATGAAACATGACAGGACTCTACTGTTGCAGAAACCAGCAATTAACTGTCTAATTAACTGCCTGGATTTTAACATTGGTACTGCTGAATTGAATTGACATTGGTGGCCTGGACTTTAACTTCAATATTGCTGAATTGATATCAGAACTAGCTTGTTTGCACAGTATTTTACGGTTTTATTATTTTATATTTTGTTAATTGTTGTTTTAATATTATTGTACAGAGATTGTTGTGAACCGCCCTGAGCCCATTTATGGGGAGGGAGGTATACAAATCAAGTAAATAAATAAATTCTATGCACTGCTTCTGAAAATCTGTTTTCTGTATTTAATCAACTGACAATGGTAAGTAGGTATTTTCCCCACATTCTGCCCCTCATCCCCGCACTCCATTTTGATCCCTGGAAAGAGTACTCCTGGGATTGCCAGACCCTTGCTGATAAATAGTGGCATAGGTTTTAGATGTGCAGAGTAAAGGGAAGCGGGTGAAATCCTCCCCGCCTCCATCTTCTGTGAAAGGGGAAATTAAGAGTTCCATGGAACATTGGTTACTATTTTCAGATCTGTCAGTAACTTCTTTTATTTGAAGTGCAACCCAAATATTGGTGCTGCTCTCCAAATTTTCAATTCTGGCTTACACAGAAATGGATATTGTGCTCATTAATAAGAAAATAAAAGAGGGGGTGGGGGAAGAGATTGGATTTATACCCCACCCTTCACTTGGAGTCTCAGAGCAGCTGACAAACTCCTTTCCCTTCCGCTCCCCACAACAGACACTCTGTGAGGTAGGTGGGGCTGAGAAAGCACTGAGAGAACTGCTCTGACTGAACTATGGCTTGCCCAAGGTCATCCAGCAGCTGCAAGTGGAGGAGTGGGGACTCAAACCCAGTTCTCCCAGATTAGGTCTGCATACTTAACCACTACACCAAACTGGCTCTCCAGTATACAAACCAGAAATACTAGAATTCAGCACAGAATACATGAACATTTCCAAAAATCTATGTCTCACTTGTGCTTGGAAATAGCTGACATAGGACGTTCATAATAGTAATATTTAAATACCCAACAGACTATTTCTCTGTTTACTTAGAAGTAAATCCTAACATTCTTAAAGTATGCATATGTCACTTTCCCCATGAAATTATTTACAAAGTGTTCAATAGGGCTCACTCCCTGTTACATGTGTATACAACAATGCAGATTGAGTCAAATACTTTCAAGTGGATAGCTAGCTAATTTTCAAGAGAACGGGAATATCTAACACTTACCTTTGAAGTGCTTTGTAAGATTCTGCCTTAGTTTGAAAGCAAGAAATTGCAAGCAGATAAACAGGTACAAACAGGTACCACTTCGGTGGAAAGGTAACAGTGTTCCGTGCGCCTCGGCGTCTAGTCATGCCAGCCACATGACCACGGAAACATCTCTGGACAGTGCTGGCTCTTGGGCTTGGAAACGGAGATGAGCACCGCATCCCTAGAGTCGGATTCGACTGGCTTTTGAGCAAGGGAAACCTTTACCTAGGCCAAATATTCACTCATTTTCAAGAATCCAAACACCAAATTCTGATTTGTGGCTCAAAATAACTTCTTAGAGGGCATTACATACATATGAAGCTGCCTTGCACTAGCCAGACCAAGATAATGCTTTTGATCTTTTTTGCACTGAAAGTGTACTATGTTCTGTAGCAGCACCAAACTATTAAATGTAAGAAACAAAGGATCTAAGGAAGGGTGCTCTAGTTCACATGCAGGACATATACACTGTGCCTTTTCATTCCACAAAGCACTATTTTAATCGGTACATCCTAACTCATCTAAAAATAAAATAGTATTTTAGATTTAGCCTGGTTATTCTGCCAGAATTACTGTAAATTTTAGCTGTTCAGGGGGAAAACTGCTGACAGGCTTGATGGTATACTTGTATACAACAGTGGAGAAAAATAATCTGTGGGCAGATTATACACATCACAAAAAAGACATTTAAACTGGTTCCCTTTCAAAATTAATACTCTTATTTTCCTTATGCCTGCTTCCTTTTAGGATTGAAGAAATTAATCTCACTAAAATACTTTGCAAGATACCAGTTGCAGTACTATGTACTTACTTAGGAGTAAACACAGCTGAATAAAGTGGGATTTACTTCTGACTAAACACACAGAAGACTGTACTGCAAGTGTATGAAAAAAGTATGACCTGGTGCTCTGTAACAAATTAAATACACAGTGACTTTTCAGTTAATTGGGACTGTTTTACTTGTATAACCGCCAACTTGATTTTTAAATCATTTCTGCTAGTAAGAGGAAAACGTCCCTTTCACCACATTTTAAAGCTTTCATACCACTCACTGCCCATATATTCTTTTAAAGGGAGGGAAAAGACAAATTAATTAGAGAAGCCTTTTCCAGGTCAGCCACAAAAGAATTTGGTAAAGGAAATACAGAAGTATTAATACTAACATACCTTGAACGGCAAGAAGTTGTTCTTCCGTTGTCCAACGGGCATTAATTTTTTGATTGGACTATTAAAAGAGAGAGAAATTGCAGAAGTCAAAGCAGCTACAGCACATTCAAAAAGCATTGAGGACCTAAAAACAATAATAGTTACAAAATTCCTCTCTTCACACAATAAATTACCATTTACAGTCACTCCAGCTGACAAAGGCTCTATGGGAATTCTCAAAAGTCTAATACGTGCAGTCCTTTTCTTTTCAAATACAGTGTTGTGCACTGGAGATCATGGAAATTTGGCCTGCAGCTAGGGCCTCCACCTTACATCATTAAAAGCTGCTGCTATGAAGAATTTGGGGGCTCTACTGAAGTTCTACTTTTCTAAAGGAGGAGGCATGGTAGACCCAGTTCTTAAACTGTATGGGAGTAAGATAATTCCAGCCATGCTATATGGATCAGAGATCTGAGGCTGGGGAGATCAGATATCGTCCTCATTAGAAATAGTACAGAATAGTACAGTGGCCCCACTGGTGGACCTCCTGATGGCACTGGTATTTCTGGCCACTGTGTGATACAGAGTGTTGGACTGGATGGGCTTTTGGCCTGATCCAACATTGGAATCTAAAAAAAAATTATTATTTTATGAGGCGGATTCTCGCCTTGCCAAGGGGTGCGCCAGTAGCATTAATGAGGGCCGAACTGGGAATTACCTCGTTGAATGCCAGTCAATGTCAGAATTCTATCCTATTGGAGAAAATGTTTAGAATGACCCCAGGATTCCCTGGAGGGTTTAAGTTTTAGTTTGCACCTGAAAGCCTCCAAGAGATTAGGTGACCATTTGGCCTCGATTCAATTGAAATTTTCAATTCCTGATGATCTATTAAGGAATAAAACTCAAGCACGGGAACTGAAGGAATGGGTGTTCAAAAAGGATGGGCTTATGGATCAGGATGTGATGGAACGTTGTCTTATGGCACCATTATTCAAGTTTTTTAAAAGGGATCACTGTAGGTCCCTGTATTTAGAGAAGTTAACCAGCCTGGAATTAAGATCAGCTTTTACAGCTTTAAGATTTCAATCCATGCCCTCAATGATTAGGACTGGACATTTCTTTGGTATCCCTGCCCCCCTTAGACTTTGCCTTTGTGATATGGGGGAAGTTGATGGTATTGTACATTATATTCTGAGATGCCCATGGCATGAAGCCCCTAGGCTAAAGTACATCATCCCTATTATTCTGCAGCATAATGGACTCTCTGATCTCGATCTGGTCAAATTTTTACTCTCGGACCTTGACCACTATGTCTCTAGCAGAATGGCGTTATTTGCCTTAGCAACAAGGAAAATCAGAATGAGTTTAGTATTTAATGCAAAGTAGGAGGAGTTAGGAGTATACTGATTTTTTAATTGTTTACATTACCATTTTATAGTCTGATGTATTATGTTGTGGCCTATGGCTAAGACAATAAACTTATACTTGACTTCAAAAAAGACAGCCTCTTTCTCATGTGCATTGGAGATCATGGAAATTTGGCCTGCAGCTAGGGCCTGTAATCAGAAGCAGAATAATCTGGAGCAAATCCTTTCAAAATCCTGAAGCATCCCTCTGCTTATAATGTTAGCATGTATGACACTAAAAAGTGCTTCTTTCTCACACTACCTGGGCCATGTGTGAAAGAATGGCCACTTCCGCACTGTCATTTTTGTCACTTGTTTGTCCCTATTGCTTCAGGGTCATCGTCCCCCTCCAATGTGTTTTGCTTTCTCTAGTAGTCCCAGAGGGAGCAAAACACATATAGAAAAGGGTGTGTGGGGGGGAACCTAAAGCAATAGGGAAAAAACGAGTGACAAAAGTGACAGTGCGGAAGTGGCCAATGTTTGCAAGAGCAACACACCAGTCAAAAATGCTGTCTGTCCCACAAAGAAGTCTCATTAACTTAACTGGCGACTTAAACAAAAATTGATCTAAGTATCACGTGTGGAAAGTTTTTAGAATGTACTCAAATGGTGTAAGCCACAAGCTATTTGACCACCAGCACAACAAATGCAGCACTGAACATTCATCTGCATTTCGTAATGACTTACCTCAGGAGGTTTGAATTCTTCTATTCCCCCTTCAATTTTCTGCTTAAGTGCACTGTTTACTTGCTTAGCATTCTGAACCTTTTCCAACAAAGAACAACACCAGGGATGGAAATTAGTTTACACAAAATGGGACATCCAGTTGTTGCTAAGTGACTGGGACTACTGGGGTCAGCCAAGCTCTGAACATACAAAACTTTCACTCATGAGATGAGACCCGTTTTGGGAGCCAAACACTTTTATGTTCCCACATTCAGGTACAGTCATAGTTGGTGACATGATACATTCTTAGCAGACTCTGAATCTTTGGATCAGGAGCTGAAGATAGTATCTCACTCTGCTCATATATAGCTGAGACCCTGAGCTACCAGCCCAGACAGGTAAAGATGTTCTCGAAACCAGCCATCTCACAGTTCTTTAAGGGCCAGGAAAACAGGATCTCCCTCATCTTATGCTTTGCCATAATTTTAGAATGTCTGTGTCATCTTGACCAACCTACGATGTTAACAGTCAATAAAGGTCTGAAACATGGCCTAAATAGGAAAATATATGGTAGAGGGGCTCTGTATGTCAGAGAGGGCATAAACTCCGATACACTAGAAAATTTAAGAGGAACAGACTCCACCACAGTGTTGCTAGGGCAGAAATACCAGGCCTGAACACATTATTGCCTGTCTGACCAAAACTCTGAGAAAGACCTTAAGATAGACAAAGGAACAGGGAAGACAAAGGAACAGGGAAAGCAATCAGAGGAGAAAGCTATGCAATAATGAGTGAATTCAGCTACCCTCGTAATGGCTAAGTAAATGTGTGTTCTGATCATGAAAAGCAGGCAACATCTCTAGATACCACAAATAATTGTGCCTTGGAGCAGCTGGTCATGGATGGGAGGCAACCTGGGACCTGGCTGTGAGTGAGGTCGAGGACATGATGCAAGTGTTAACTGCACTGGCCAGGAACAGTTATCACGGTACTATCCAACATTTATGTGATTGGAAGGTTGTCCCAAAAGCCCAACATAACCATATTTGATTGCAGAAGATGAAATTTCTTGAAAAGACAGACCAGAAGGGAGGGTAAAGGGGGCCAAATCCCTTTGTGTTGCTTGGAAATTATTTAAATCCACAACTATGGAAGTTCAACTAGAATATATGGTGCAGACTCTCAAAGGTACCACCAAATTGAAGAGGATGCTAGTATGGTTAACAAGCAAACTTACAAAAGCTCTAAAGGGCAAGAAGCCTCCCTTTAAAAAAATAGGAAGTCTTGCCCAGACAACACAAACAATCAGGTTCTAGCAAAACAAATGTACACTGACAATAAGGCATATTGGTGGACAGCACTATCAATGGCTATAAGTCACAATGGCTCAACGTTACAAAATAGCATCCCTCTGAATTCCAGTGCTGGGGTGGGGCGGGGCGGGGTGGGGTGGGGCAGCAACAAAGGGAAGGGCACCAGGGTGGCTGCTGGTTGGCCCCTGTATGAAGCAGTATTCTAGATTAGATGGGAAAAAAATTCACACAGAAGGTGGTAGAAATCTAGAAACAAAAATAGTTTCCATTCAATCCCAGAATAAGAGCATTAAGGATTGGATCTACATTTCTGCAAACTGAAGTCTGTAGAAGCTGATCTTCCTCACCTTCCAGCAGCTCAGTGCATCCCACCAAAGGCAATCTTCTGAGGGTCAAGGGCTCCTCTGAGCAAAATCCCATGAAAGTAATACGGGGGGGGGGTTTGCTGGAAGAAAGGGGAATTCATTGAAATTGCCTATCCTCCTTCATGCAAAAGTGAAGCAAGCCTTGAGCTGAGCTTGCTTCACTTCCCCAGAGCCAGGGGAGTCATTTTATTAGATTCATTTGACTTCTTGCAAGCCCCTTCCCCAATGCTGCACAGCATTTTGCTCAGGAGGGTCCTCCACCCCTCAGCAGTGCTTTGCAGGGATCTGCTGCAAGGATGGAAAGAGCTGCTTCCACTAATTCATGTTCACAAAAATTTGGCTCCAGTGCTACCATTATATAAATCACTTTTGCTGTAGTTCAAACTAGTTGGCAGTTATCCTAGCAAACATTTTTAAAAGGTACAAAATCATAAAATCCCTTTAAGGAACTCCAAAACAAAATTAAGATATAGCTAAATTGTAAACAAAATTACAATGGTGACTAGAATTATACCAACAAGTACAATCATTTATACACTAGTTGGAAAACTAGCAAATCTGCCCAAAGTCCGAACTCTGGATTTTCCAGAGGACACAGCTCATAGCCAGGGTTAAGTCCACAAGTGGTAAATGTAAACTAAAATCTAACTTTAATGGGAATCTCTTTATTAACCAGCATTAATTGCCCAAACTCTCAAAATGGTGAAAGGGATTCAATTTTTTAAAAATGTAAGAAAAATGTGCTGCAAATTACCTGTCGCTTCAATGAGATCAGCTCCATATCCAGCTGCCTAAGAAGTGTATTGGCTGCATTGGGGCTACAGGAAACTGCCACTACATCTTCTTGAGTTAGGTACATGCCTTTAGGAGGACGGCATTTGGAACGTTGAGAGTGGTGACGATGCTGTAAACTCTGATATTCTCTTCTACCCAATCCTATTTTGCTGGACTGAACAGGCTGCTCATTATTTCCCTTCAACATTTAAAAAGTTTAAATAAATAAACAAACACCAAACAGACTTTAAAATTAAACATTTTCTTTTGTCCAGCAAAAGATGCTGGGCTGGCTCAGCTGATCTGCATCAACAAAATGTCACTTGAAATCTCACAGGAGGCCAAATATACAGCTTAAATTCATGTTTTTCCAACATAGTCCTAAGAATATTTAGTCATAAGTAGTGCTAAACTGGGTGAGATTTATGCCGCAGTAAGGACTGCAGTCTACGTTATCTCTGATTTTAAGGACTCCCAAGGTCCCTCTTAGTACTTAGCTACTCTCATATCACATTTAAGTCAGCATCGGCCAATGTGTTCCTATGTGCAGAAAGGTTCGCTGTGACATCAGAACAGACTGGCCTTCTGCTGCTGGAAACATTCACAACTCACAATTCACGACATACTTCCCATCTCAAAAATCTGCAAGAGTTTGAACAAGACTACTAAAAATCTAAGCAATGGTCAGGGAGGGGAAGAAGCATTGGGCAAAGGTTCAAAAAGTAGAAAGGGGCTGGACTACATTTCATGCAACACACAGCTGCCTTCCTAGTTCCTCCCCGATTCATTCTCCACTACTGTAACACTTGCCAAAACTTTCAAATTTCTAAAGTCCCATAGAAAAAGTATGCAAGACAAGTAAATCCAGACACATCCGTTGTATTTTATTAGGAGCAAAGAACACGTGTGGCTTGAAATCGAAGTTACAATGCAATTCAATGCAGTTATTGAAATTTAAGCATACTGACTTGAGTGAGCTTAGCCTGAAGTAACTTCATAGGATTGCACTTTTAGTGGCATAAATGCCATGTAGCCATGCCCATACTTTCCTACTTCGTGTTTGTCCTGGATACAGCAGTTATTGCTGTGTACTGATATGAGAAGCCTGGGTTCTAATTCCCACGTAGCTGCACTGCTTGGGAGCAAGGACAAGTTGCTATTTTTCAAGCTGATCTGTCTTATGAGGCTGCTGTTACTGTAGCAGTGCTAAAGGATTTATTAATTCAGAAATGCAACAAAAAAGCTGCTTTGCTGTCTAATTTGTGCGCTATAAAGTACTATCTCAATTCTTTAAACTGTTTTTTCTCCTTTTTCAATTGTATGCCAACCAACTTAATTTCTATGTTTTACTTAGGCAGAGAAGGAAAGGAGGAAGAACCTGCTAGCTGGCTAGCAGCAGCTGCATAACGTCTAGCTGACTTTGTTCTGGTCCTGCTCCACAGGTATTTAAGGTGCCAGAGGCTGAGACAAAGGGCTCTTGTCCTTCGGCTCTTAGCCTAAGGGTCACAGCCTTGAGCTGGCAGGAAGGTCTGTCAGATCTGCTCTGTAACCGCTTTTCTTGCTTCTACTATATTTTCTCTATTGTATTTTCAGCTGCTTTGAGTCCCCACTGGGGAGAAAAGCGGTATACAAATAATTACATAAATAAATACTTCCTAACCCTGTGTAGAAGTTGGGAAGGGGTAGAATGGATCAGATACTGCCTGTACCATGGCACAAGTGAAGACAAGGTGTAGAGGCTCGTGTACACCAACAATACGGTGAGCAGGTAACCAGGTTGGCTATCTCTGGTAGCCCCTATGAAAGTCCCAGGAGAAGAGACTGACAAATCAAGGACCCCTTGCCTCCCAGCTGAACATCCAGTAGCCAGGCCCTGCTCCTCTCCCACCTATGTGCTTGAATCCCAACAGAGCACTGCCATGAAAAGACATTTTTGTCCATGGAACATGTCTTTCTCATTTCCCCCCTCCTGTTGCTGCTCCATCTCCCCTCTCACCACAATGCTGGTCTGTGGAAATGCTCTGATGGATCCAATCCAAGACTACACATTGAAACACAGCCAATATTCTACACCTCTATAAACCCTGGTAGCCAATTAAGCTGAAAGAATACCATTCACTTTGGGGGAACTACACAGCAGCAGGTCACCATGCAGTGGTCACTCAGCATGGCTTGAGGATTTATGACCATGATGGTTACTTAAGCTACTCCAACTTGCTCTATAGACCACATTCATCACTTCATGGCCTACCATCTCCAGATGCTCTTTGTGATAACTGAAAGGTCATCCCTGCAATGCCTTTGGACTCCAGGGAGACATCTCCAACCACAGGGTGCACCTGGCACTGTCCCATGCCCAGGTGTGCATCTGCGCTTCCTGTTCCATGAAGGAAAGTAAAATTGGCCTAAGCCTCTCCCTAATTTTGTAGACAATGCTAAAATACCCAATTCATGTAACTACCTCCAGCCAAAACAACTGTACATTAATGGTCACACATTAGCAAATGATAAAAGTACAATGTTTCGTCACTGGTAATTTAGTGCTGACCTGTACCAAGCTGCACAACCGTGATTATAGGGCTTGTTGTGCAGACTGCTTTATGTAAATAATATAGTTAATATTTAAAAATATTAAAAAATGAGTATTTATTACCTCTTTTTTAGTTTCTTTTTTGGGATCATAATCACTATCATTCCCATCCATTGGGTGAGTTTCTTCCACATCATCATCACTGAGGATAGAAATACATTCGTGAACTTCCTTCCTTGAGTCTCTATGTTCTGTTTTGCTCTATATGCAAAAGACGTTTCTGCAGATATTTGTATTTGACAGTCTTAGTCACATAAAGAGGTTACAGCAATGGATTTAATAAACAGCAGTACTCAATCCAAGCTAATCTGTTATTTGTTTATTAAACATCCATCTAACACTATTTTAAATGATTGTTTAGCATGCTGACACATTTTCCTATGCTGACTAACTATATCAGGATATTTTACTGCTTTACAGAAAAGTTGCAACTAAAGTATGTGTTCTGAACTCATGTTTTATCAAACACAGCCACCGGGATCTTTAGGTGACTACCTGGCCCTTTTCTATTGTCCCACTCCATGGAATGACCTCACTCTACAGTCTTGTATGGAAGCATAGTCAAACCAGAGAAAGAGTGGCTGATGGCGGCAGAGAAGATCACAGCAGGCTCTGTGCCATCTCCTAGTTATAACTGAATATACTGTTTCTACATGACAAGATGCAACTAAAAATTTGGTTGCGGTAGGAGGACACTTGCCTACTACCTGGTAATCAGAAGGTACAGGGGGAAAAACAAGACTTTTCTCACTGGTTTTCCTTGACGGCAGCTATACTACCAGTCAGCTCAAACCAGCACTAAGAATGTGCTATGAATAAACTTGCAGCCATTGCTTCGTTGAATCCTGGTTCAAATGAAACACAGAAATACAGCAATAGTGTGAAGTACAGGTGTAGGTCACTGTATATCACAATCACACAAAGCTGTATTTCTATGGGTATACATGTATCAAGTTATTTTATTTAACACAAAAAATTATGTGTGTCAAACAGACTTCAGTAACTATATATAATGCAAATCTCAAGGTATTTTTTTCTCTTGCAGAAGTTCAAAAACTCAGATCTATCAGTTTTCAATAGTAGAAGAGCTGGGGGGTAAAGAAAAAGGTACCCATCTGCATACTTGGCTACTATGCCCCAAAATAAAAGTTTTCTGGGAAGAAATACTACAAAGATAAAAGCTATTACTAAGATCGCAATTCCATTAAAACCGGACGTAATTTTGTTAAACAGTAGAAATGATACCTTAAATAATCTTGATAAATTAAGAATAGCCTTATTGCTGGACTGCTTCCGGTTTTGGCGGGCTGATGGCAGCCGTCTCTCCTGGCTCCCGGGGACACGGACTGCAAACCAGCGGGTAGAGAGGGGGTGCGATCGTACACACCCTCCCAGGACCCATGGGATGGGTCCTGAGTCAGGGGACGCTGAAGTTCGCCACCCTCCAGGCTTGTTGCCCGGGGGTGGGGGCGTCCTTTTGCCCTGATTGTCTCTCTGCTGTGTTCCAGTATTGGTCTAAGCTACGCACACCAGACCAAGCGAGCAGTGATCAAGTTTTAATTAAGCGACTGACGAAACCGATGAATTGACGGATGAAGAGTGAGTGAAAGTAAACTGAAGCATCAGAGGAAAGTGAAATTTATCCTTGCAAGCATGGGGGGGGAGGTAGCCACGCCCCCCCTTTTCACAGACAATAGAATTAATCACTATTGAATAAACGGAGCTTGAAGGGACTGAGATGGAGAATTGCTGAGATTTAAGAACTGACTAACAATTAAGCAAACACTCAGGACTTTAAAAACCTTAATAGAAAATATTTATCTTCAAAACCTGTCTGGCTGGGAATGGCTAGAGTGAAGCACAGTTGGTGGCTGGAAGTGGCTAGGATGAATGTACTTGGAAATTTCTTCTTAATGGTTGTTAACATTCCTGAAAGGGTCAGAGTGAAGCAAAGGCCACCCCCCAAAAAAAGAAGAAGCGGGGAGAGAAGAAGTTTGCTCCCCATATAATAACGAAAATATAAAACTTTTAAGGGGGTTGGCGGAGCAAAAAGAGAGAAAGGATTGAATTGGAAAACTTATGGGAGTTGAAGCACTTATACAAGCACCAGAAATTTTCTTTGTAAAGAGACAGTAAACATCTTCATTGGGCATCGGAAGCTTTCTTTTTTTAAAGAGACTCTAAACATCTTCATGGATGGCGGCAGTAGAGTGTGGCGGAATCCCCTCTCAGCAGATAAAAATAAAATAACTGTAAGAGCTTGCAAGCACTCCCAAAAGATATTGGAAACTTTCTTTTTAAAGAGACTGTAAACATCTCCTTGAATGGCAGCTGTAGAGTGCAGTGAAATCTTTCCTTAGCAGACGGGGGGGGGGGGAACCCCTCTCTAAAAATAAAATAAAATAACTTTGAATCTATACAGGGAAGACAGAGTCGAAATACAGGAATGGACAGAACTTAGAGAATCACTAGAGGTGGCGAACTGAACAGACGGATATATGGGACTCTTGCAATTTGGTAATTAAAAGAAGATAAATAAACCCCGAAAATGGCCACGGATGGTGTCGAAAGAATTAAAATGAAACTCAGTCCTCTTCAGGAAGTGGAAGGTGTAGCTGGACAATAACATTCCTGAGATGGGTGGCGAAGGAGCGAAGTCCCCCTATTTATTCTGGTGGGGGGGACAGAGCTAAGAGTAGGAATGATCTGCATTATCAGAAATGTTGTGGGAAAGGTTGATGGGCGGTTTAATTGTCCAGAAGACAACTATCTTTTAAAATATATAAGGGGGGGTGTTTTCTTGTAAAACAGGAGTAAAGGGCTCATATAGAAAAGGAGGATGGTTGATAGTGACTGCTTAAATGAAACTTAAATGTATTGTGATTCTCTGAGAACTAGTGTTATATCAACTTAGACTAGGATTATAAATGGAGTAGATGTTGAAGCTTCTTGAAATGACTTCAATAAGTTTAATTAAAATAGGCTCTGCCAATATTAAGATATTAGATTGGGGGGGAGTTAACTGAGATGCAAGGGGAAGTAATCTGATGCCTATACAGATTTTGTATAAGACCTTAAATGATATGAGTATTTGGAGGATGTATATATAAACCAAAAGCTATTTTGTTTAGTAATTCAATCCAAACAAACTTGGAAGTTGGGATGATTATAGTCAATATCTGGAAAGGATTTCTAAACAGTCAGATGGGTGGAATATAACAACCAGATGGGTAGAAATTATTGTTTTAAATGTTATGAGATGATGAGGATGCCTGATGTTTGCATAAAAGAGATTTAAACACGTTTAAGAAATATACTCCAAGCAATCAGTATGGGCTAGAGCTTCTATAAGTGATTTACTGAATTGTCACCTTCAAGGTCAACAACTGAAAGTGTTTTGTTTATGCCATATTTGTAAGCACTGTGTATGATCACCACACCTTGGATTTTATTTTCTGTCTCCCTTTCTTGTAGGTTGTATTAGTACCCCTTCCCTTTTCCGTAGTATTTAGAAATTAAAAAAATCCCTTTCGGGGGGCATAAAAAAAAGAAAAGAATAGCCTTATTGCTTTATGCTGCAAAGGCAGTGGTTGCTAATAAATGGAAATCAGAGCATATACCGTCTATGTCTGTATGGCACTGTAAACTTTGGAATCTGTATATAATGGATAAGATCACACTATCATTACAAACTACTCTATCTGATCAGACAAAACATCTGTTTTCGGTGTGGTTTCCTATTTTAGATTATCTAAAATCACAAAAAGATATTCCTACCATGGTTAATGGCTTATATTGGTTATGATACTGCTATGTTAAAATAAGATTTACAATAAATATTGTATGTAATATAAGTACTCTACAGTAGTGTTATTGTTCCTACGGATATCTCTTTGTTATATGGTTTTATGCAGTTATTCACTGGTTTGTTTTTGTATGTTTAACAATAAAATTGTGTTTTTTTTAAAAAAGAAAAAGAGTTGCAGGTGGTGATGTCCATTTTTAGACTCATAAGCTGCTTCCTATTTGGCCCTCTTACCATTCTTCCTTTTTCACAAATTTGACTACAACTACACCTCTGGTAATTTGGGTCATATGTACATTGTTGGTGGCAGTGTGAGAGAACAACAATTCTGGAAGACAATTTTGGACCAAATATTCCTTATAACAGGGGACATTGTCCCATTCACACTGGAGAAACTGTTTCTTAATTATTGGAAGGATAGCACAGACCCAAATATTAGGAAAGAGTGGATCTCATACCTTCGAACAGCTGCCAAAACATCTATAGCAGCTAGTTGGAAATGCCCAAATGCACCTACGCTTCATATATGGCAATGAAAGGTATGGGATATGCACATAATGTAAAGAATTACATATAAGATGAATCAGTTTGAAAATAATCCTCCTTCCTTGAATTTTGAAGAAGTGTGGCCAATTATATTGAACTATTTGATGCAGATGGGAGTTGTCCCCCCAAAACTGAAGTACTTAACTGAAATGTCATATTAAGGAGGTTTATAAGTTGCAAGATCTGATGTTTGGTATTGCTTATTTACTTTCTATTCCAATCTTTGCTGTTTATGTTAATTTTTTTGTAATATGTTTCATGCTTGTGTATTTGTTGGTTGTGCTAAATACAAATTGTCAAATAAAAAAAATCTTTTAAAAACCCTAGGTTTATTATTTACACAGGAATCATCTGACTTGCAATAACAGAGGAACAGTAACACAGAGCAACATACCTTGCATAATTCAAAAAACACAAACAAATCTGTTGCTCTCTCACTCCATATGAAAAACTAGATTTAAAAAAATCTGTTCCTCTACTTACCTGTCACCTTGATTATTTCTGTTTGCTAGCTTCCTGGCCTGGCGATCCATTAAACTTGTCCTAGAACGTGTTTTCTTCCAGGAGTAGTAGTATTTTACAAGGCTTGCAATAGTCTTATCTGGAAGCTAAAAATGGGCCAACACAACAGGTAGACACTGTGTATTAATTCTCTGTAGCATTTTCTCAATGTCAAAACCACATGGTCTGCTGGTATGTTTTAAATTTATAAAGCAAAATTGACTGAATATAAATAGGTACTCTAAGCATGAATGAAGTTTACACTACCAAAAACAAGTGTTTCATTTGCTGTAAAGGTATTTTCTCACGTTCAGAAATATGGATGGAAGTACTACCAAGAAGCATCCTATCCTCACCCCAAAAAGAGGGAAGAGACCAGCTCATGGATGTAAAACACAACTTTGCCAAATTTTAAAAAGTCCAATGCGTACAAATTTTGACTGACATTTGGGGATATTTGATCCAAAACAGGCAAAAGTAAAACCTGTTCCTGTATTGCTTAATAAGTACTATTTCACATCGTTTCTCAAGATTAATGAAACATTTTGTTGACAACCAAAATGTTGCAAAATACAGTGTTTATTAAAAACTGTTTTACAAGTAGAAATGCTGACAAAATTTGAAATCGAACTCTGCCATACTCATTATCCTCAGAAGTATTATGAGGAGAGCTGATATTTACCCAAAGTCTCCTGTTTGTAAATATATCATTTTTTGTTATTTTGTTTGCGGAATGAGGGAATCTGTGCTGTACAGCACTGCATTCCCTAACCCCATCCTGACCCTTACTAAATAAAAAGTTGGCTTGACGTATACAACGTGGTTCATGTATTTCTTTGTCCTCCATTAATATTGACTTCTTCCCCTTGCCAGAAAGATACACACTTAACTAGGAGTAAGCTCCACTGAATACAATGGCATTTATGTACAAATAAATATGTGGAGGATCGGGCTGGGTGGAAAGAAGCAGAAGCAAATGGAAAGAATGAGAATTGAAGTTTGTGTTTCTGGTGAAAAATCTAGTTTTTTGCCCCTGCTATGCCTATATGAAGTGAGAAAGATAGTTAAGAGAGCTTGCAGTCTGATGAACTGGTTCTGCATGCCTTTCCTTGCATTCTATAATCAAAGCAAGCAACCATGCCAGTGCCGCAAAAGAGGCAAACCGTGACATCATTCAGCACTTAAATAAAGTAGGGGAATTGAGAGCTGGAGCCCAGGTTCCCAACCCAGATCGGGGGCGGGGGGCGTCCATTTCCTGCCAGCCTCAGAAGGGTCTCTCACTCAGGTGTTACCACTTTTGCTCCCAGCACAAAATGAACTGCTGTCACCTCAGCCTAATTCCTGCTCCTGAGGCTGCCAATGAAGCCCTAGAAGATTCCTCCTCCAAGGTGTCCTTTAAGAGCTTGGAGATGGAGGGTGGCAGAATAGAGTGCCCCAAAGCTGGAGGTGGAGACACTGGGAGAAGGAGGAAGGCCCTAACTCACCATGTCTCCTGGCCTCCCATTTCTCCTTCTTAGCCATTACACTGGCTGGGGCAAGGCAGTAAAAGTTGAAGATAGCCACTGGCCCTAGTGTCATAACTAAGGATGTGCATGAGGCTGCACAAAGGAAATAAAAGAGTTTGACCTGATCTTGTTTGGCTGTGCCTCTTTTCTGGTATGATGTCCCCCCTGCAGATGTCACAATAATGCAAGGAAATAAAGATGCATCATTCATAATATAATACAACTCTTGCGCCTTACTTTGTGGACTTATGAAGCACTATGCAAAACAATATGGTATTATCATACATGACTTACAATAATCATAATAACTAATCATACAATTACTTTACTATCTCTATTTACAAGGAAAGCACACAGCTATAAAAAGAACAAGTATGCTTTTAACCCTTAATGCCACATTAACTAGGATTTTAAAACTGAGTTGGAGATATATATATGTATATTTATATATATATCTTTAAAAAACTGGATCATTTATAAACATTTATATATATTAAAGAGACAGAACTACATGGATTAGTACTTATTAAACTATGTGAACCTTTTAGGTTTGTTTGCTTTGGTTTTTGTTTTAGTTAAACAAAAAAGCTCAGTAAAATGGGAGGTTTTGGCACCCAATTGGTACAGGTCCTTCAGACCTGTGTATTTTTAAGGTTCCCTTTGAGAAACCCACCAGGTATTTTCTTCTTTATCAAATGATTATTTAAGGCAGCAAACCTACGCCCGTTTACTTGGGAATAAACCCCATTAAACACACAGGAACATTTCTGAGCAAGCATAAGTTCATGGTATACTGTTTTTCAAATTTAACAGAAAAGTGTTGCCATTTGGTCTTAATCTGAGAGCCCCCTCTATCTAGTCTGCAACCCAACACACTCACCGCAAGGCTGGAAGGAGGAAGAAAACCAGGGTCCTCCTGGCACCTGTCCTTCAGTGGCTGAAGAACACTCCAGGATAACAGAGGAGATGAGGAGGCAGGCACTACAGCCCAGAGGTTTCCTTCCTAATCCTTCCATCATCATACTACGTAGGCTGGGAAGCAGTTCCTCTCATGTACTGGGATTATTTGGTGCACCAGCAGTAACAAAGTGAACAGTTGCCTGGTCTTGGTCTGTTCTAGTATGGCTGTTCAGAGCCAGGGTAAAGTGAGTGATCCAATGATCAACTTGAAGAACTCAACAGATGTTGTTATCACCACTGCCTCAGATGACAGGACCTCATAAAGTTTTGCGCTGAACTGTTCTGGCATACAAACATTCTGAAACTGATAACATTCTACTACAAAGCAGCCAATACTGATACATTACTGTTGCTTTGCCTCAGCTAGCCAATTATTATCTTACCATTTGTTGGATTCTGTGAAAGCTTTTCCCATGGAAACTGAAAGCTTGTTCAAATAGGACTTTATCTTCAACTGTCCACTCATCAGGAAAAGGAGTAAAATTCGGGAGATCTGCAAGGGACTTCTCAATGTTGTGTTTATGCCAGAACAACATGCCAAGTGCCTTAAATTAAAAAAAGGGTCTTTAGTTGTTACCAGGATATGCCTTGCTCATTTCTTAAAGTTTTGTTGCCTTGATGTTCCACAGTAATAGCAATTTTAACCTGTCTCTGGAGGGATATGTAATAATCTTTTAAGCTATCTTCCATTGTGCTTGTGGAGTACATTTCAAAATTCAGTATCTCAGAATATGATTACATTTCTACTGTAATAATCAGGAGCAATAAATATTTAAGTAAGAGATATCAAGCTTTTTCACAACTCTATTCAAGTTTTCAATAGGTATTGTGCAAAAGTAGGAGTATGAAGATGAATATACTGAGCATCACAGTGTCAGCTTCATCACATGTTCAAGATATGCAATAGCAATTCACTTCCTGACTTGCGCAAATAAAAAAGATAATCTGGACTGTTATAAGTCCAGTTTCAGGCCTGGTTTTGGAATTATTTAGCACCACAGGGAACAATCTGCACTGAAAATCAATCAGGAACAGTAAACCTTGCTGATTTTCCTTGGTCTCCCATTAGAATGAAATTTACAAGCATTGTTCTGTGATGATTTTACTCCTACTTAGCAGCTAGATTCCTGAATCTGCAACTGACTCAGAATGTAGCAACACAGCATATGTATCAGCCATGTTGACGTAACTATACTGGTTCCCATACTGTTATGGCTCACCGGTTAGCTCAGTCAGTCTCTTCAGTGCCTCAGCCAGGTCAAGCGGACAGTGGAACATGCTGGGCCCATAACCCATTGGATTCTCTGGTTTTAGTAGAGCCAGGAATCACTACTAATGTAGCAACATGCACTCCCCAAGATTTACAGCCAGAGCAATCTACAAGCATGAACTCTTCCAAGGAATAACAACCTACCTCTGAGGAGGAGGAAATCTCTCCACCTACATTGGTAGAGTGTCAAGGGGAAAAAGGCAAAGGTGAATGTGGCAGTAAATCCTCACAACTGGGGAAACTGTTGGCTCCTTTTAAAGGACAGGAAACACCTGGACAGGGAGGGGCTGCTTCAGTCCCATAAATACTAAGTGGTTACAGCCAGTTCTTCACTGGCAACACCTTTGTTCCAGCTCCCTGCTTTTCCTGTTGACTCCCTGGGTCAGCCTTGCTTCCTGACTCCTTGTGATTTGACTTTCATACAAGACCAGACTACACCTCTTAGACTTGTTCTATATCCTGGCATCTTGTGCTACAAACTTCATTCTGGACTTGACTACACTTCTTGGACCCACATTGTATCCTGACTCTTTGTGCTTCGACCTCTGAACCAGACCTGACTACACCTCTTGGAACTCACTCTGCATTGATTCCTGACATTAGTGCCTTGACTTTTTGTCTGGAGACTTGACTATAGTTGAGACAGTTCACCAAACCCAGACACTGGGGGCCTTCCTTTGACTTACTGGCACTGGGCCTTTTGACTTGGTCACAAAACATGATACATACATACACACACATCCCACCCTATTCCTGGGTTTGTGTTGTATAGCTATTTATGCAATGCCAAGCTTCTTACTCCATCCCGAATTAAGGTCTAGTCAGCAGCCATCAAAAGAAGGTCTTTTCACTGCTAGCAGCTGGTTATGAACCTCATCCCTAGAGAGGCTCATTGTCCCTCTCCCTCTTTTCCCTTCAGACAGGTTAAAATTGCTGTTATTCAGAAAACATTTGGGGGAGCAGGGGCCAAGCCAACTCTGTGTGCCTATTTTTGCACTGTGTATTTTATTGGTGGAGGGTTTTTTTTACAATTTTGTGTATATTGTGCACAACTCTGGGCAGAAATTGTAATATATACATTTTTAAATAAACAATTGTATACCAATTATATTCATTAATCTTACCTGTTCCACATTGTAGCCATGTTTTTCCTTTGCTATTGCAATATATTCATCCACTACAATAAAGCAATGCCAAAATTATTTTCCCCAGACAGTACACTCCAGGAACAGTTTAGGATAAGTGATATTCAACATCAGACAAAACTTCCAGCAGCCTTCTAAAATTCATCCTGTTCATTGCTTCTAACTTATAGATGCATCCCCTAAAATATATTCTGTACCCATCCGAATAACAGTTACTATTCCTAACTGGGAGGTGTTTCAGAGAATCTCTAACCGCCCTCCCCAGCTGATGAACAAGTCTGCAATCTGCACACAATTAACAGTGTCATCCTAAGGAGAGTTACACTCTTCTAACCACATTGACTTCTATGGGCTTAGAATGGTATAACTGTGCTTAGAATGGTAGTGTAAGTACTGTAACCCCTCTGAAGCAGCCTAACCACACACAAGATTAGAGCCCACATACTTTTAATAAAACAAACAGGGCTGCAACTCTAACAATTTATTTTCAATCCCTGTTTCTCTCCCAATTGTTCAGGAAAATTCAGATCTGATAGCGGGGAGCCTTGTACGGCCTTTTCACTTGCGCATGTGTGGTATGTTGGAAGAAAAGCAGAGATCTAATACAAGGATGGGGATAACTAGCAGGACCACATACATGAAGCAAGCATCAAGCAAATTGAAGGGATGGTATCTGGCTCAGAAGAATGTGAAGGAAAACAGAGCAAGCTGGCATCAACTATGAGAAGGATGCATCGAATTTACATTCTGGGGTAAGCAACATGACAATGAGATCAGTGCCAACCCTGGCACAGATCAAAGAGACAGATATTTAAGCCTAATAGAAAATACTTTTTGGCCCATCCAATACATTGGGACACCTCTAAGATGTGTGGTTAACGCAAATGCTGCATTGGTTTTGACATGATGCTAATTTCAAATTGCAGTTGAGTGAGTCCCACACAATCACACTCTTTGAATCCCTTCCCATTTTTAATGTCTGAAGAACATCACAGCAGTGCCAGCCAGGGGGTTTTCATGCCACCTAAATACAGAAACAAAACAAACCACCTTCTCCTATTTGCAATTTCCTTACTACCACAAATCTGTATTTTGTAAAGAAGCACACACAAAGAAAAGATTGGTGGGCAGGAGGCACTGGACCTGCCAAATAATAAATCTGCCAGCTTCTCATTATAATGAGTTGTAACTTACTCACAAGCAAATTGTACACTTCCTGTGCTTGTTTCTAATATGAGCGAGTGCCACAAGATAAGATTCTTGATTCCTGGCATTTGGCTCTTTGATTTTAACAAAATATTTACTACTCACCAGCTTTTCTCTACTACTTTGGTTTTCAATCAACATTACAATTAATATCTTTATGTGTTTCTTTTCTTAATTTATATGTCATCCATCTTGTAGGTTTATTCGCATTTTCAAAACAATTCTGTTTCGCATACATAACTTTCTTTGCTATTTCTTGGGTTAAGAGACAATTAAGTTGATGTTAAAGATTCTTAATTTTAATTCTTGTATTTTCCAACAAAATTCCAACCTTCATATTTTCTTCTTTTAGTTTGATTTGTTCCTCAATCTATGACATTTTTTGTTTTCTGTCTCTTCACCCAGACATTTTGCCTAATAACCCACCCTCTTGCATAAACTTTAAATACATCCCATACTATGTCCATAGACATATCTGGCTGGATATTCAACTTAAAAAATTATTGAAATTTTTCTTTGGATTCAGCCACAAATTTGAGATCTTTTAAAAGCCATAAATTCATGGACCATCTTGTTTTCTTTGGAATATCTTGTAGAGTCAAAAGTAGAGGACTGTGGTCTGCAAATGTTGAAGAAAGAATCTCTGCGTCAATGGTATCATTTACAATATTTGATGAAATCCAGGCCATATCTAGTCTAGACCAAGATTTGTGCCTGGATGAAAAATAAGTAAAGTCTAATTTTTAATGGTCCTAATCCTCCATGCATTCACCAATGTAAATTCTTCAGCTAATTGCAAAAAAGAGTTTGGCAGTTCATTTCCTGATTTGTTTTCCAATTTGTTTTTTCCTGTCCATCATTTTATCAAATACCACATTATAATCTCCAATTATGCAGATTTCTTCATAAACTTGATTGGAAATGGTATTATGTAAAGATTTGCAAAATTTCTCCTGTTCTTGATTGGGGGCATAAATGTTCACTATTAAAGTTGTTTTGGTTTCCTCTATATTTTCACTATCAAAACTCTTCCATTACAATTACAATTAAGAATACTCTCCTTCAGCTGAACTGTGGTTAGTAAGGGAAGGAAGCAGCAGCTATATATTGTTGCACAAAAGCCACATGATGACTCCAACTGGTACTTGAATTCCAGCTAGCAACAGGAGAATACTGGAGAATACTGGAGGCCTTATCATGGACAATGTGGCATCAATATGTAACTCTACAAATCCATGCCATGATTGCATTTGCACTCACCAGTAGTTACAGTATGCAGTGACAGCATTTGATGTTTGCAGCTCCCCAACCCACTTTATAACTAATTCAGAATGACTCTGCTAACTGTTCAGAGCATTGGTATCTCTGTCAGACTGGAACAGGGATGGATAAGTGGCTAGAGACACAAGTTATAATAATATTGTAACAGCTTAGCTGAGGGTGGAGCCCTAGGTCCAAGGGGAAGTCTACAGATAATGTTCTGTCTAACCCAATCTAGACTACAACTGAAGACATGGGAAGAGGCCAGTAGTGTATCTGAAGGACATCATGTGAACCAAATAAAGGACAGATAAAATCTTGCACATGTGGACTCTCTCTGTCGTAAACACACACAATCAAAATGCAAAAATCAGGCAGATATTCAGTCTGACACTTACTGAAAGACAGAGGTTCTCTGGGTTAGTAAGCAGAAAGGCAGACCAGGGACTTCAGATCCCTGAGTTAGTAGAAAGGCAGAGCTGACTTGACTTGGCTAGCCCGATCTCATCAGATCTTGGAAGTTAATCAGGGCTGGCTCTGGTTAGTATCTGGATGGGAGACCACCAAGTCCAGGGTTGTGACACAGAGGAAGGCTATGGCAAACTATCTCTCATTCCTTGAAAAACCCATGAGGTTGCTGTGACTTGAGGGGGGGGGAGCAGACCAGGGACTTCAGATCTCTCCTGCCTTGGAAGGGGTTATACTCCCCTTGAAAAGCCAGGTTCACAGCTTGAAAGTGTTATTCGACACAGCAATCACCTTAGAAAACCAGGTAGCTGCCGTGGTTCACAGTATTTTTGCCTAGCTTCAGCTGATGTGTCAGCTGCATCTATTCCTGGGTCAATCAGATCTAGACACAGTGATCTATGCCTTAATTACATCTAGACCAGACTACTGCAGTGCACTCTACTTGGGGCTACCCTTGAAGAGTGTTTGGAGGCTGCAGCTAGTGAAAAATGCTGTGGCTAGACTGCTGGTTGGGGGAAGCTATCGAAAACATGTGACCCCATTTTTACAGCAATTACACTAGCTACCATTCCACTCCTGAGCCCAATTCAATGTGTTGGTTTTGATCTTTAAAGCCCTACATAGCTTGGGACCAGGGTATCTGAAGGACTGTCTTCTCCCATATGTTCCTGCCTGGGAATTATGGTCACATGGAGAGATGACTGCCTGACTTCTATCAGTCAAAAAAGCTCACAAGAGAAGACCCTGATTATGGAACAACTTCCCCAGGGAGGTACGCCTGGCTTCCCTCACTTTCAATCTTTAGGAGGCAGTTGAAGACAGTTTTATTTAGGACTGTATTAGGTTAACTTTACTAGCAGTGCTGAATTGTGATCTTAAAATTTTGGTTTTTATGTTTTTTATCTGACACAAACTGCCTTGCGCTCCATAAAGAAGAAAGGGATCTAATAAACTTCTTAAATAAATGATACAATGAACCACCAGCACCCTTTCCATTCACAGATATAATCAAACATAACTGTACACAGAGACAATACTAACAGAAATATTCTAGTCTTTGGTATATGCCATGGAACACAGCAATGTAGTGTCAGGAATACGATAACCAAAATTTCTTCTTCTTTTTTCCCAAATACATTTTACACATAGATAATAGTAAAACGTTGTCATTTTGTGGCTGGTGTGAGTAAAAAAAACCCCTACATGGATATTGGAATATGGATATTTAAAGTAATCTTTTTCAGGTTATATATGGTTTAGGTGATGCTTTAAGTGATATACAGTTCAGAGCAAAATCCAGAGCTGCTGCTGACTGGCTTATTGGTTCGTTATTACACAGGTATCAACCAAACTTGCCTTGGATATATGTTTATGCAGAGGTACTATAAAAATATTTGAAACAAGAAAACACATAAGACTCTCATCTATAGGAGTGAGTTTACTGCACTGTGGTGTGTGATCTGATTCGGGTTCTTGTTGCATTACAGAATTTGTATCCAAATCAACAGATGTAGATATACATAGCTTCATCTTAGTCTCTCATTAGTTTTCGCTTTGTAATTTAGCATGTCTGTTAATTTATAACACGTTAGCCTCATTTGCCAGTAGCTTTAAGTACATCTGTCTCTGTAGACTACCATTCACAATATTTTTTTTCCAATCTGCGAACGCCCTTGTATTAAAACACAAAATATTGTTATAAAGAACTCATTCAAGAATTTTAGCTGTCTTCAGATTGGAAACAATCCCAAAGAATTTTGAGAGTGATGGCAAATTATACAGGAGCTGAGATCTCAAAGGGTTAGGGACAGGCTGTAAATGCATTAAAATGGACTCCCAACTGAATTACTGAAAACAAACCTCCCACAATTCATAATATTATATAATTATATTTATATATAATTATATATATTTCAAAACAAAAGCACTGAAACTGCTAACATGCTTAATTTTAGCATACCCAAAGAAGAATGTGTGATATGCCTTAGATGTGGTTGTCCACTCATCTGTTTCAACAACATTTAACTCTCCTCCACAGAGATCACTGACAGTGACACTTTTAAAAAACCCACTGACTTCAACAGACTTGGACTCTGTTTAGGATTGCACTGTGAAGCACCTCAGCTTCTGCTACTTTCTGCAGTACCACCTGCACCGCTGTTAGTTCCACATCAGATTGGTGATTACAATATCCCTTCCACCATGTAAGAGGTGACATATAAATGCTAGCTTTGATTTCGATTTGACTTGCACAGCCAATAAGGCAAACTCTTAACTTGATTTTTCATTTGGATAATTATATGTATTTATGATTTTAACCTCAAACCCCATAAAACACACCTGAAGTCTCTCACACACTTCCTAGGTTTAACCTGAAAAACATTAATTACAACTTTGAAACTGCTGAGCATGCCTAATATTGAATTGACAATGAATCCATTAATTATTAGTTTTATAAAACAACTAGTCTTTAGAAATGGAAAAAAAATCTATAAAGCACTAGAAAAGGTTTCAGAGAATTTGCTACCCAACACCTCTGCTCATATGGCTGGCCGACCAGGGTTTTCCAGAACATTTATACTATATCTTCACAGAGCACAAAGCATTGCATACAGAAGCATCTTAGCATATCCATGTGGGTTCACATTAACTCTAACCAAAAAGTGCTTTCTGTGTAGCAATTTTGTACCATGTAAAGTTACCACCATATATGACAATTACCAGAATATTGCTTCATGCACAGAACTTACACTTGGCATCTGGAATACTATGATATGGAGACCACACAAGCATCCCTCCATTGTCTTTATCTGTGTATTTTGTAGCTCCTAGAAGAAGAAAAAGTTGTTTAATGTTGCAAAAAGTATTTAATCCAAAGACAGTAAAAGCAGTAAAGTTACATATAACGAGTAACACACTGCCCACTAATCTTGAGTTGTCCGACAGCATGAAACTAACAAAAATCTCTCTAGAACAAAATTTGACTCCAGTGGCACCTTTAAGACCAACAAAGTTTTATTCATGGTATAAGCTTTCATGTGCAAGTTCAGATACAGTAAGTAATGATAATTCCTGTGTACACTACACACATATATAATATTTTCAGGAATATGTTTGTTTTGCAAATGAGACTTATTTTGTTCACAATTAATACACCATACTGATGGTAATCCCCCTCATGGATCACTGCCTTGTCGTGGCGAGGGGGCTTGAGCGGTTCGATGAAGCTGTGGGCTATGCCGTGAAGGGCCACCCAAGACGGACAGGCCACAGCAGAGAACTCAGACCAAGCGTGATCCACTGGAGAAGGAAATGGCAACCCACTCCAGTATCTTTGCCAAGAAAACCCCATGGACAGTAACAAAAGGCTAAAAGATATGACGCCGGAAGATGAGCCCCTCAGGTCAGAAGGTGTCCAATATGCTACTGAGGAAGAGCAGAGGGCAAGTACAAGTAACCCCAGAAAGAGTGAAGCGGCTGGGCCAAAGCTGAAAGGACGCTCAGTTGTGGATGTGTCTGATGGTGAAAGGAAAGTCCGATGCTGCAAAGAACAATATTGCATAGGAACCTGGAATGTAAGATCTATGAATCAAGGTAAGCTTGACGTGGTCAAAAATGAGATGGCAAGACTGAACATCGATATCTTAGGAATCAGTGAACTAAAGTGGACAGGAATGGGCGAATTTAACTCAGAAGACCATTATATCTACTACTGTGGCCAGGAATCTCGTAGAAAAAATGGTGTGGCCTTTATAGTCAACAAGAGAGTGCAAAAGTCAGTACTGGGATACAATCTCAAAAATGACAGAATGATTTATGTCCGATTCCAAGGCAAACCATTCAACATCACAGTAATCCAAGTCTATGCCCCAACCACTGATGCAGAAGAGGCTGAAGTGGACCGGTTCTATGAAGACCTACAACACCTCCTAGAACTAACACCAAAAAATGATGTCCTCATCATCATAGGGGACTGGAATGCTAAAGTAGGAAGTCAAAAGGTAACCGGAATAACAGACAAGTTTGGCCTTGGAAAGCAAAATGAAGCAGGGCAAAGGTTAACAGAGTTTTGTCAAGAGAACACACTGGTCATAGCGAACACCCTTTTCCAACAACCTAAGAGGCGACTCTACACATGGACATCACCAGATGGGCAACACCGAAATCAGATTGACTATATAATTTGCAGTCAAAGATGGAGAAGCTCTATCCAGTCAGTAAAAACAAGACCTGGAGCTGACTGTGGTTCAGATCATGAGCTACTCATTGCAAAATTCAGACTTAAACTGAAGAAAATTGGGAAAACCACGAGGCCATTCAGGTTTGACCTAGATCGCATCCCTGATGAATATACAGTAGAGGTGAAGAATAGATTCAAGGGTCTGGATTTGATAGATAGAGTGCCTGAAGAACTATGGACAGAGGTTCGTGACATCGTACAGGAGGCAGCAATCACCACCATCCCAAAGAAAAAGAAATGTAAGAAAGCAAAGTGGCTTTCTGATGAGGCTTTACAAATAGCAGAGGAAAGAAGGAAAGCGAAAGGCAAAGGCGAAAAGGAAAGATTTACCCAACTGAACGCAGATTTCCAGAGAACAGCAAGGAGAGATAAGGAGGCCTTCCTGAATGAACAGTGCAAAGTAATAGAAGAAAACAATAGAATGGGAAGGACTAGAGATCTCTTCAAGAAAATTGGAGAAATCAAGGGAGCGTTCCATGCAAAGCTGGCCATGATAAAGGACAAAAACGGTAGGGACCTAACAGAAGCAGAAGAGATTAGGAAAAGATGGCAAGAATACACAGAAGAACTATACAAGAAAGACCTCAATGTCCTTGACAAACACGACGGTATAATCACTGACCTTGAGCCAGACATCCTGGAATGTGAAGTTAAATGGGCCTTAGAAAGCATTACTAACAACAAAGCTAGTGGAGGTGATGGTATTCCAGCTGAGCTATTCAAAGTCTTAGAAGATGATGCTGTTAAAGTTCTGCACTCCATTTGCCAGCAAATTTGGAAAACGCAACAGTGGCCACAGGATTGGAAAAGATCAGTATACATTCCAATCCCAAAGAAGGGCAATGCCAAGGAATGTTCAAACTATCGCACAATTGCACTCATATCACACGCTAGCAAGGTCATGCTCAAGATCCTACAAGCTAGGCTTCAACAGTACGTGGATAGAGAACTACCAGAAGTACAAGCTGGGTTTCGAAGAGGTAGAGGAACGAGAGATCATATTGCCAACATTCGCTGGATTATGGAGAAAGCAAGAGAGTACCAGAAAAATATCTACTTCTGCTTCATTGACTATGCTAAAGCCTTTGACTGTGTGGATCACAACAAACTATGGCAGGTCCTTAAAGAGATGGGAGTACCAGACCACCTCACATGTCTCTTGAGAAACCTGTATAAGGGCCAAGAAGCGACAGTTAGAACCGGATACGGAACAACTGATTGGTTCAGCATAGGAAAAGGAGTACGACAAGGATGTATACTGTCACCTTGCTTATTTAATATATATGCAGAGTACATCATGCGAAATGCTGGCCTGGATGAATCACAAGCGGGAATTAAGATTGCTGGGGAAAAGATCAACAACCTCAGATATGCAGATGATACCACTCTAATGGCTGAAAGTGAAAAGGATCTAAAGAGCCTCTTGCTCAGAGTAAAAGAGGAGAGCGCAAAAGTGGGCTTGAAGCTCAACATCAAAAAAACTAAGATCATGGCATCCGGCCCCATCACTCCTTGGCAAATAGAAGGGGAAGCTGTGGAAGTAGTGACAGACTTCACGTTCCTGGGATCCCAGATCACCGCAGACTGTGACTGCAGCCATGAAATTAAAAGACGCCTGCTCCTTGGGAGGAAAGCGATGGCGAACCTAAACAGCATGATAAAAAGTAGAGACATCACCCTGCCAACAAAAGTCCGCATGGTCAAAGCAATGGTATTCCCAGTAGTCATGTATGGCTGCGAGAGCTGGACTATAAGGAAGGCCGAGCGCCGAAGAATAGATTCTTTTGAACTATGGTGCTGGAGAAGACTCTTGAGAGTCCCTTGGACTGCAAGAAGAACAAATCAGTCAATCCTCAAAGAAATCAACCCTGACTGTTCCCTGGAAGGCCAGATAATGAAACTGAAGCTCAAATACTTTGGCCACCAAATGAGAAGGGAGCACTCACTGGAGAAGACCCTGATGCTGGGAAAGATTGAAGGTCAAAGAAGACGGGGACGGCAAAGGATGAGATGGTTAGACAGTGTCAGAAGACCAGGACGGCAAAGGATGAGATGGTTGGACAGTGTCATCGTCGCAACGAACATGAAATTGAGCCAACTTCAGAGGACAGCGAAAGACAGGAGGGCCTGGCGGGAGCTGGTCCATGGGGTTGCGAAGAGTCGGACTCGACTGTGCGACTGAACAACAACAACTGATGGTAATAGTGCTATTGAATGGTTTCAATATTATATGGTATTTATATATTTACATTTCATAAATATGCCTGAGAGTACAATTTTATATGGTAACTAGGGTATAAATAATGCATTTTATGTTGTTAAAGCAGTGAAGTAAGTTAAAGTAGCATAGTAAGTTCAAGCTTGATTTTAAAAGTATTGCATGATGTGAAGAAATGCCTTTTTTGCCTGGGAGACTGGAGAAGGGCAATAGCCTCCACTGTGCATTTTGAAAGTTTTATTGCTGTTGTTGTTGTTGTTTTGGGCAGAGAACAGGCTGGGAAGAAGGAAGTCTGTCCATGGCTGTCCAGGCTCACCTCAGCTACCTCTTAAGAAATAGTCTTCAGGAAGGAGATTCCTGGAGATATCCTGGAGACACTTCTTTGAACTGGCATGACCTGGTCAGTGGGTGGAGTACCAGAGATGATAAAATCTCCTTGCAACAGGAAAGCGGTCTCTTTCCCTGGGATGCTGAGTCCATGAGAAGACACAGACCTCTCCTCTGAAGCAGGCAGCCATTTTCACCATGTGCTCACCTGCAGAGCTGAAGAAAGCTTCAAGATAATGGCAACTTTGTAGGAATTTGTAACTCCTAAGGACTCTGTTTAGGATTGCACTGTGAGGCACCTGTCCTATATTTTAACATCTGATAGGGCTTGTATAGAGATAAGGACAGAGGATTTGCATTTTCCCCATTTCTTTTGTATTCCCTGCTCAATTTGGTAAAATTGAGTGCTAAAAGTATGCTTGTAAACATTTTCTTTTAAACAAATGCTGCATAACTATGGATGCTGGCCATGGTTCTGTGTACCACATAGACCTCCACCATCTTGGACACACTATTTTAAAGGGTGTGCCAAGGGGGAAGGCAGGTGATTAGCAACTGGCTATTCCTCCAGGGGTGCACAAAGCAATAAATTGTCCCTGTGGTGACCAGGTGCTAGGCCATGGGAGACATAGAGGCAAGGCCTCCGAAGTTGGAAGGGAAGCTGGGAGCCTGACCATCCCAGTGGGCAAGTTCATACAAAGGTCAGGTGGTGGTGGCAGGCTACCCTGAGAGAGAAATAAAAGCCCCTCCAGATGTGGAGAAACACCTAGGAGGGCAGGGAGGAAGAGGGCCTGCAGGCCAGAGCAAGACCGTTCTGCCACACATACATTTCAATTTTCTCAAAAATTTTAAAATTTCCCTAAAGTACAAAATATTTTCTCATGTTCCATCCCGTCAAAATGTCTGGAAATTTTACATCTCTAGATGTATCAACAGACCTATATACATCATAAGAAGACCTCCCTGAGAGGAGGAAGGGGATGTTATTAGTTTTCCTTGTAATTAACAATATGAGTACTGCGTGTCATGAAAACAAATTTCCA